TAATAATAATAATAATAATAATAATAATAATAATAATCAGATCTAACTTAGTAAAATTAAACAAAATCTACGATTAACTGTAATTGTTAAAGTAAGCAGAAAATCAGCTTACCAACATCTTGCATGAATTTTACTAGCTTCAAATTAAATTATTTATTAAATACCGATTAATAAATGCATTCGAAATAATTGTAATTGTATTTAACAATATTTAGAGAGACAAGTCAGACGTTTGATGATCGCTCAAAATCTGTCCGTTTCGTAGGACATGTGTTCTGAAGTGTGCCTCTGTCAGAAGGCGCAAGTAGATAGTTCACTACATCTACTGTACAGAAAGAAAGACCCACAGACAGTTTCTACTAGAGTACTGCAAGCACACTTCAACACTAATAGCCAGAAACATAAGTCACGTCTCGACAGAACATATGTCGAAGCTAAAGAAACCGCAAGTCACAAAAGGAAAGAGCACACTTAGCTACAGAAGTATTTAAACACAGATACAGTGTGCGTAGGAGTGGGCACGCGGTGCTGGGGGAGCGTGGGGCACCCGGGTAGGCTGCAGTTCCCGAACGCAGTTAGCAATGCTTGGCTTCAAAGCACTGCCGGGCTCAATGCATTCGGATAGGTTGGAATAAGTACAGCATTGTTGCTACAGAGGATACGTTCAAATACCACGTGTGATACGACGCACGTGCGGATACACACATTCAACGTTCTGCGTACGCGTTTTGGGGGGTAAACTAATGTTAAATACTTTGCGGTTTCACATTCAGGTTTTGGTAGAAGGGGGAAAGCATTTTACTGGATGAAAACATGAGAGACGCCGAAAAAACCGTCTCGAAGTTATTTACTGCTCTAGTTGGAGTTGTTTGCGTTCCCAGTTATTTGCTGATGTAAGCTTAGGAAATTATTTTTACAATTCTGAATAAAAGTTATTTGAAACATAGAGATGAACAATAGTTCAAATAATTCTATTAAATACATTTTAAATAATTGTTATTCGTCAAGATATTTAATTAATTAATTGTTGTCTGATAAAAGTTTCAATGTAATTATTTCATTAGTTGTTTCATGTTTTAATTTTTTGTTTAACAATAATAAAATACGATTTAATTTATTAATTAGGAAAATTAGCTTGATGAAAATCCTATTTCTTGTAATTCTTTATCAGTGGTGCTACAGAGGCGGTGTTGGCAGTTTTCCTACAATTTTCCAGTCTCCTTTCTTTTAATAGTCCTATTGCTTATTTGTGTCCTTATGCACATATGTCTGCTCATGTATGAAGAGGACATTGGAGTACCACATTAATAATCACTTAAATCATAATTTGGTAATAAGTAATAATAGCTGAAAAGTTGAAGTTCAAATAATTCTGTCTGTATTCTATTTTGTTTGTTCTAGATTTAAATTAATCGTGGTTTTCGTAGGCGGCTCTCATATTTGTATCATGCTCTGGCTATTGGAAGCTTAAACATATCTTACTTTTAATGGGATTGCCATAAGCTACGTTACATTACTTTTAATGGTAAGGATTAAAGCTTTCTTTTCCAGTTATGCTTTGTACCGGATGATAACCCTAATGTTAATCTTAGAAGCCTTTGATTCCTCAAAGGCGTACATGATTCACCACAGTATGTCACGTAAAAACCGTGGGATGATTATTATTAGGGTATCATTTGGGGGTGTTATTGGTCTGGAAAGCATAACACATACGGCCAAATCAATTGTATTGGCTGAAATAAAATGGGGAATAGTTAAAAACTGTAATCTGGTCAGGATATTTCTTAGAAAATACGTACATGAAGCGGAGCTTGTTGATGCACAATGCTGAAGAGCAGATGTGTTTTTAATTTTCAGCAATCTGTAGATAATTAAATACAAAACTGAGCCCTTCATTTTTATTACCTAGCAGCCTACACCGAGTTTAGGAAATAATGTTGAAAAGTATTGTTGACAATATTTTTCAACTTATTTTTGAGATTGAGTAGTTCATTTAGTTATTTCCACTTAAGACAGTTTTGTCTTGACATTAAATGTTCGTGTTACTATAAAATGTGTTCACATGTCAATGTGGTAAATGTATATCATTAGCATTGTCACAGTATTTTAATTATCTTTAAAATATGATCCATTATTTGAAAGTAATGACATGGTATTATGATCTCTGTATCAAAATTTGGGGTGGTTTAAATTTTAAAATAACATTTCAATAACATACTTCTTTCCTTGCATTTCACATCATGGTAGTATTAAAATATTTTTATCGAAAAAAAAACGTGTCAGAAATAAAGACTATATAGTTAATAAAATGTATGTTATCGATATTGAGTTGACAAATGATTAAAAAACATGGAATCTATTAATTTTACTTATAAAATGTGGCTCTTTATTCCGGCATGAATGATCAAACCCAGACAATCTCACCTTAAATACTTGGCGACATAGGAAGTTCTCTCGTACGGGAAGAAGCCTGGAACAGACGAAATATAATTACAGATAATTAATTTCTTCTTCATTTAATATAAATAGGTCAACCAGAATTATAGATTTTTATATAAATTATTTATGTATAAATTTGATATTATTAAAAAAACTGTAAACCATTATTTAGTATGCTTAATTTAGTTTGTTCCCTCATAACTTCAGAAAACGTGTACAGAACTGTCAAAATAGTAATCCCAGCATGAGCTACATTATTCTTCTGGTGTAATATTAGTTTTTATTTTCTTCTAATATATTTTAGAAGTATTAAAACGAACAATTAATTAAATATGCTTAACTTAAAACTATTAAATTTAAAGCGTCAACCGGATCAAACATTTACTCCCCCAAAAAGAAATAAATATGACTCGTAAATATCTTTTAGAGATACAAAGAGATGCGCGGAGCATTTTAATCATTAAAGTAAATTGTACGTTCTGCAAATTGACGCATCGAAGGCTGTTGCAACAGCAACCGAATTAAACGGCACCAATGGACATGAGTTTAATCCGCTGTGTAATAATCATTCCCACATGAGTGCAGTGTGGAAAACAAAGACGAGGTACCACGAATTTTGTGATATTAGTAAAATCATCATTCATTGCTTCTTAAATTTTTGGAACAGCCAAATATCAAGTAGTGGTCGTCAACATTCCCTACGGAAGATCTCAAAGTGGAAAAAACAAACGAACTTTAGTTTACCGAGTTAACTATAGTTTAACCAGTAATGCGAATATATTCTTATTTATGGTAAACGCGACTAAAGTTTAGTGTACCTCCAAACACTGCGGATGTCTGAAGGTCATCAAGAGGTGTTCCCCCCACTCTGTGTCACCCACGGCGTCCCCACCATCCCCGCTGTCGCCGATACATCGCCCCCTTGCACACGTGCACGCGCGCCATGTGCACGCGTGCCGACTTGCATTTTCGAAGGAACGTCGTCCAGTGAAGCCCTTTGAGAGCTTCCACTGCAGGGAATACTGAACGCGATTGACAGCAATTTCTATCGGTGCACAGAAAAGAAACGACACGGCAAGCGAGGATAGACAGTGCGGGATTTCGATGACGATCTTGAACCGCCGAAATGTTCTACCGCCGCCATAGAATTGGGTGTGCAGTGGCTGTCGCAGGAGAGGCGCCGGAGGAGCTGCTCACGTACTTGGCCATTTCGGAGAGCTGCAGCCGGCCGTCCTTGTTGGCGTCGAATACCTGCAACTGCAATGCGGAGCGTACGTAAGCGCGCGAGTTGTAGGCAGCGGGGCGGATGAGAGTCGAGAGTCGAGAGTCGAGAGTCGAGAGTCGAGAGTCGAGAGTCGAGAGTCGAGAGTCGAGAGGGGCAGGAATTTTAAAGGCGGGGCAATTACATATGGTTATTTGCGTTTGTGATGCGGTGGGCCACAAATGCAATTTTCAGAATTTAACGTTCTGATTAAGAATACGATTAAAAGCATGTATGTTATATGAACGTAATTTCTATAATATTAATGTATTATACGGAAAAATACCGATCAGTTAAAACGAGTTATCATTTTTAGTTTTATAGTAGAAAGAGAAGTAGCAATGGTGTAGAGAGGAGTGAAGATTCGAGACTACAGCGATAGAGTGGAATGGAGGCTGGGACGAGAGATTGGTGTTTAATATGACTCGCCATGCTGCTGTGACACGTGTTTTATAAGTGTAATACTTTGTGTGAATAATATTGTTATATCCATGTATTATTGGAAGTAGTTATGCAGTAGGAAGTTATTTTTGGTTATAATTCGTCAACTTTTTGTAATTAGCATATTTTCAAAATGTCTTTTTGAAATAGTGAAATAATTTACAAAATGAAATATTAAATGCAGACATGTACTACATCTGCTGCGCAGCTGCGCGTTGTATAACATTCTTTTGAACTCCCTAATTTTTTTCTGAGGAGAGAGGGAGTAGATGTGAAATGATATGACGTGTTGACGTTTTCAGGACACCGAACTTGTTTTCTGGAATTTTGACTTACATTACAGGAAGGAATTTATTTTCATTTTCTAGATCCCTGTAATGCATGAATAATGTACCGTCAGTGTGTATTTGTATTTTATGATTTTAAAAACTGTAAGCTGGAGAGAAAAACTCTTAGGGTGAAAAATGAATGCTATAAACATGTCTGCATGTGCGCGACTGAAAATAAGTGCGCTCTAAAACGCGACTGCTATATACAAGAATTTTAATTATTCTTCCGCCTTGCAGGGAAAACTTCGTAGGATTCCGCTGATGTTTTAGTCTAGTTATCTGCATTGTACAAGAGCGTAATGAAAAGATAAAGGGATCTAGAGAAAATTTAAAAAATAATCTAAATCTGAAATGATTTAAATGTTGTGCTTTCACGATTTAGTTTTTTGTAAAATTAAACAAAAGGAACACCAATCGAGTTACTTAAGTATTGTAAATTGAACAAATCATTATTATGAAATATTAGTAATTTGTTTTTTCTGAATCGCTTAAGGCGTATGCTAGGATGGTCACTTTTTTGCGATGTCAGTTTAATATTTTTTAAATGTTTCAATCATCTATAAATGTATATAATATAATAATAATATAATAATAGGTTTTCTTTATGAAATATGTTTTTATGCATTATACGTTAAATTCGACTTCAAATTTAAATATGCGTTTGTGATAGGTTCAAATTATTTTGCGAACAATACCAAACTGATAAGAAAGACGGATAATATCGCGTTTTGCAGTTTAGGTTCTTGATGACAATAGCAATTAACTTCAACGTTCACCACATAATAATACACAGATCCTTTCCTTGATTTACTTCTAACCTATGATTTTGGATACTATTAAGTTACTAGACACAATAAAAAATCTTGATGTATTACTGGGTTCATTAATTACGGATAGAACGGTGATGTTTCAACGTGTCAGTTGTATCTCACGTCTTGTTTAAAGCATCCTAGAAGCCGCATTTATAACTCAGAGCAACGAATTTGAACTTTGTGTCTTGCCGCGAGATGAAAATATGTGTTCTTTACAAAATCACATACGCTGATTGCGAAATAGAAATGTTGCATCACGAACCAATTTTTCCGGAAAAGAGACCCCCCAAAAACACTTTCGAAAACTTGGAAATGACGTGGTAACAATGCAGGAAGAATCTTTGATTAATATACTGAATGGTCATTCTTTGTCCTATTATTCCAGTGGCACAAGAAACAGCAATATTTTGTGTAACCAGTCTGCAGTCTTAAAAAGTCACAGAAGTTTGAAATCATCACCGATTTTTCATTTGTGGTTTGAATAGCCAGTATACTTCAGGAGCAACTAAATGTTGTAAGTTTCTTTTAACTGAACAGAATGGGCTACTGGCATCAAAGCTTTCTCGTTTCTGTTATGTAATAGAACAGCTTTGAGACTACTTTTTGAGGAATCTATAAATAAGCGCCGCTCTTCCGGATTGCGTATCACTCAAATGTTATGTCATTACAATAAACCAAACTCAATGTTATTAAAAAAAGTGGAAGATCAAGCATCATTTACGGAACGTATTTTTTGGAATTTTGTTGCAACAGGTCCTTTTCTTGGAGACGAGACCCAAGTAATTGGGCTGGCCTCTTTTTGATTTAGATATGTTATAAGATCGCTCAATTCTGCCTGCGACAGTGTCTGTGGTTGTAGCTGTGTTGCAGTTGGCGTGTAATCAAGATTTTCGTGATCTGTAGGTTTATCACTACCATCGTCGGTTTCATCTTCCAGTGGTCACTACGTTTGTGGTTTTGAAACTGAGAGAAAATCACAATGCGGAATTGAACGCATTTGCATTATGCGAATTTGAATAAGAAACTTTGTGTTTTGATTTACTTGAGATTCCGTTTCCTTTCGTTTTCGTTTCGCCAAAGTAACAATATGTAATGTGGTCTCTAGGTTCCCTTCACAACTGTGGTGCACAGCAAATGGTTGGGTTCCATTCAACGCTTAAAAATCTGTAGTGACGAGAGCAACAGATCTGTGGTGCACAACACTTTCTTCATCTAGCTTTGATTCAAAATCCAACTTGAACGCCCTTTTGACGATCGAAGAATTGGGATGTCCTTGGCAATTGGGAGACTACTGAAAAGAGTCAGTGAATTAACACACTTTCTCGACATCGCTGAGTATAAGAAACACGCCTACACGCACAAACAATATTCTTCAGGTTAGCGGATTTACACACCTCTAGAATAGATTCTGTGGGATCTCACTACCGATTGACTGATGCTACTGCAATTTCCCTTTACTCCTCTTTCTACTCCAGCACTACTATTTTTATCACAACAGAATGTGATAAGGACAGTGACAAAATAAATAAGGCAGGCGAGCGCATATAAAATTGCGTTTCCAGAGAGAAAGTTTAGATGTTAGCAAACAATGGTTTTCACCATTGGAATCAGAGCACTGAACTACATAACAATCACATATTTTCTGTTCGCAGCAGATTTCATTGTCGCATTGTGTAATAAGACGTTCTGGATGGCAAAGAAACATTTGATAGTAGAAGAGTAGTCAACCCGTGAGAATAATGATGCTTTTTCGGTGTATTCTATTTGTGATAAGAGTGATGAAATGAAATTTTATTTTGCGAGTAGAAAGGAGGCCGACAGGGCAAGTAGCACAATCTTGTGAACAAAATAATTCTTTTAGAATGTGTGTCATACACTAGCTTTTAGACAGCCTTACTGACTTTCTTTTAATTCAAGTTCAGGAACCACTTCAGCGGCTACTATGTTACATTAAGCAGATATTTTTTTCTAATGAGAATAATACGGATGAGATATTTTTCTAATAAGAATAATACGTTTGAAGGAACGTTTTTTTTTACAAAAGGGAATGATAACTAGAGCATTGTTTTGATAGAAATAGAAAATATGTTTCGTCACAATCATGATTTTTAACTCAATTAAGGGTGTAAAATTCATGCTTCATATTTTAAGAAATAACTTCTTTAATGGAAGTTGCAATAGTATAATTATTTCTAAATATTAATCTATTTTCAAAAACTTAAGCAGTGGTAAAATATTTTAATTGCTATCAAAAGTAGTTTTCTCTATATACTGGAAAGGAATATTTTTTAATTGTAAAATAAGAGTATAATATTTCATTGACATTAGGTTGACGTAGCCAATTAACTCACATTTAGCAACGTAAATAAAACTTTATGAATAGGACTTACCATTGTGTCCGTGTATTCAATGAGTTTATCCTCCGAAACGTCGTTGATTTTCTTGGCCTCTTTGAGCAAATCGCGCAGGAAGTTCTAAAATGAAGAATTACATGCTTACTGTGTTCTTGATTTACATGCATCTCGCATTTCAGACTTTTATTTAGAAATAGCACTAAATATTTGAAAAAATAATATCTAAAATATTCAAAACAAAATTTTGGTTTATTGTAATTAATTATGCTTTAATATTAATTAAAATTCAGAATTTGAGATGTTTCATTTGAAGTGGAAATGATTTTATGATAGAGTTAAAATTATATTTCGGATTGACAACTGAACTGCACTTTGGCGTGCAAAGAGGTAAAATGAGTGTTCTGTTAAGATGACTCTAAGCGACAAATAAAGAATATCAGAGAATTCAAGAAAGAAAAATTTGAAAACTTTAATTGTGATTTTGCATATTGTATTGCAGATACAAACATATTTAGTTGAGGCTTACCAGAATATTTCGTTTTAACTTTTGAATCAAAGATCTGTATAGTTGGGTAATAATTATATTTGATTTGAGAAAATTTATATAATTAATTTGCCAACTATTTGCACTAGAAGCCTCGTAATTTCGAATATTTACTTATTGAAACATATGAACAGCGCATGCTCACAACAACTTACCTTCAATTCGTCCGCTTCAATGTAGCCAGAACCATCTGAATCGTATTCACGCCATATCTGCACATAAAAGAAGTACAAGTATGTCGTGAAAAATGGGAAAATTAAAAAAAATCTCCATAAAGAAATACCATTATGTAGGGTTACATTTTTTGTAGACCACAGAGGGAGTACGGATGAGTTTAATGTACTTGTTACAAATTTTTAGTTTGGACGTTGCAACTAAAGACTGAGAGGTTTGATTAATCTTTTCAGAAGTTCCCCGTTTAATACCACATTAACCAATCAGAACTGTGTGAAAGGCAGTGAAAGGATAATTTTAAACTTCATCCTGTGTATCCTCCAGACGGCTATTTTTGATATCAGCCTCAAGGTACGGACTAAAGTAAGGTTATTGTCAAGGTGTGAAACGTTTGCAAGATATACTTTAGCATAAGAATGCATGGGGAACTGTACGTTATACAGACTCATGTTTTTTAATGTAATATGCGAAAGCTGAAGCCCCGCCGTCAAAGCGCAAATGTGTAGCGAAACGTCAATTGAATTATATGGAGGTTATAATTGGCGGTATCGCAAAAAGATAAATTTTCTATTAATACAGCGAAACTCGAAACTACACGCTTTGTTTCTCACTAGCCTTTGAAACTTCCCACCAGCAGACTGATACCCGTTTATAAAATGTCTGCCATTTTTCGACACTGTCACGTGCTTCCCCTCCGCTTGCTACCTATTGTTCGCTGTCAACTTTATCAGGTTTTAGTCCCAAGATGGTTTTGAAGCTGTTCCTATTTTAGACTTTCCCCAACCGGCTGATATTAGCTCAGAGCTAGCATTGTCCCAAACTTTGCAGTGACTCTGCTCGGCAGATTCCAGGGTTCGACTCCCGACGGTGACGGATTTTCGATCTTAGCTAGGTCAAATTCAGTCGCTGTCTGGAGGAGAATCAGAGTGGTCATCTGCTCTCATCGGTAGTTTTTCGTGATTTCTCTTGTGAATAGCAGGTGAATACTGGAACAGTGCCTTACCAAAAGGGCCACAAACCGTTCGTAATCTTTTATTCTACTTCCTGGTCCTATCTTCTCCCCCTACACACATTTACAACCACTATATTATCATTCATGTCGGAAGATCAGTTGGGAGCATAAAGGTGGCCCAGCTGGGGGGAGGTTACTGGAAAGAGGAATTCTCTGCAAGCCGACGTGTAGGTCACTACCGAATTTTATCTTCCAGTGAGGGAGAAACACCGCAACCCCCCAGAAATAAAATATTCATTTAAGTAAAGGTACTAATGACTTAGCAGTTGACCTGTTCGGGAACATCAATCAACTAAGGTGGTTTTATCCACTCATTTTGGATTAATGTCAACATTAACCACCTTAGCGAGAATTAGCCAGATTCGCACTTTGACCGGAACATATGCAAGCGAAAGTATCGGAATATGTTTCTACGTGAAGACTCGCTGACATTTTTGATTTTCAGAAAATGAGAATGAAAACGAGATCTTTTCTGTTTTTTGTTCTGAACTAGTTGAAGGCACACAACCAACGTTGACCGTACGAAATGAAGCAATACCGCAGACTTCTACATAGGCCTAATTAGCAGCGGTTGTAATAAAAAAAGTAGCCTTTATAAAACGCGGGGTCTTAGCAAGAATAGCTTATAAAGGTCAGCATGAATACATTTGGATAAAGTATGAATTATATTATGATATTACTACTCTTTTGTGATTCAATTTTGAAGCATGAAAAACACAGAATAACATCGTGTTAACTGCTATATTTCACATAGGAAAGAGTTTCGTTTACTTTCCTTATAATTGACTTCTGCGCCTCTTCTCAGGTTTTTTAGAGCGCAAGTTCGTGCAACATTATAATATATTATATATTATAATTATATATTAAATATTATATATTATATATTCTCCAATTATTCTTGATAACCAGAGCAAACGTGCAGCGAGACCTTTAATTCTTATTTAATTTGGTAACAAATAGAGTAAAAATACATTGAATGTATTGAAATAAATGATTTTGTGAGTAGCACGTACACTGAGCAAAGTAGGTTTTTGAATCTGGATTCTAAGACATTAGACGGACAAAATGCGAATCTCCTTTGATCGGTTTAGGCCTCATGCACTTCAATTTTCTCCCCACCAAAAAAAAAAATATATTGACATTGAGAACATTTATCACCTAATTGAATAACACAGTTTGAGATGTTCTAAAGAGATTTTGTGTATTATTACTCTCCTATATAATGTTAACTATTTTAATTTTATTTTTAATTGTTTTAATGTGATACTTGATGGAGGCATAACGTTTTTCGCGTCTTGAACCAAGAGCATTACATAATTTTACTGGAAAAGGGGTTGGTTCTGATCCTACCACAACATCAGATAGAACGGTTCAACAGTTATTGAACGGTAGAAGGGTTAATTTTGTATACTATTTGTTAGTTGGTTCAGGAAACTCCCTAGGGTCAGATGATTATGAATATGGGATAATTTAGGAAAGTATATGATGTTAATAGACTGAGACGCGATAAGAATACAGAGGAGGTACAAAAGTCAGGTAATGTAACCGGAAATTGGAGGAATGGATAAATCGTTTAAAATAAATTTGTTATTAACGAGCCAGGGGAGGATTTGTGTAAATCAAACAACCACATTTTGAAAAACCTGCAGTTCATGTTTTGTTGTTGGTGCAGAACACTGGACAGACATGTAGAGGATGGACGGCGGGCGCAAAGAAATATTGTATTCTGGTATTATTGCGAAGGTAGGATTACACCGGTATCTTTCAGATCGACGAGATGTAGGGGACTACATCACCGTGACTCGCCGAAGCGTTCGTGGACAATCGCATGAGAGATTCATTTGGCGGAGTGCTGTCTGCGGTATAGAGCGGTGGCTTCAACGGCGGCGGACAGCCACCCACCGAGAGGGCACTCAAGCAAATGAATCCCCTTGTAGAAGCATTTAACGAAAAAGGCGGAAACAATAGACCACCCGCAGAAGAGCAATTAGCTTGTAACTGAACAGATAGCACGGAATTTGATTCTCGAGCGTATTGGCGTCTGTTTGAAAGCCAAGGGAAAATAATGGAATGGAAAAGTGACGTCCCTGCGAGGTCGAACAACGTGCTTTTAATTGGCTTTGAGAAATGTGAGAATTGGGTGGATATAATTGTAATTCGTTCAAAAAGTTTGTGAAGATTAAAGAAGAAAGTTAATTTCGGGGAGCATCAGATGTATCGAAACACTCATTCTTTTACAGTTTTACTGCTCATCCATCGTATGCAAGTCCTTGCAAATAGTAACTTATTTAAATACAGATTCTTCTCATGCATTTTATATGAAGAGGATTAGTTATAAGTGAGAGTTTGAATAATATCGTAATCAAGAATATAAAATGGGTACAATGAATAGAATTGATTAATAAAAGTAACATTCGATGACAAAATATGAAATTATTGACTTACATACCCCAAGACCATTGTATTGTTTTTAAATGTTTCTAGTAATCAGATATCTTGTCACAATCTTTCTTCCCATCTAGTGTAGATAATGATTATACTTTGATGTGGACAGTCAGTCCCATGTCAAACAAGTCTGTCGTTTGAGTTTAGAAGTAGTTTCGTTTCATAGAAGATTGGAAGTTATGCCAGATTGTTGCAAGGCACCTAATATACGAGCATAGCAACCCGCCAACGAAAACAAGCTCAGGAGAAGCTTTGAGGCGCTGCTCGCTCCGAAGAGAGAACTCACTGAAACGAGCAACCGAGCTGTAGCATACACACCCCGAAACACCACATCCGCTTGAAGAGCGCGGCAACCTGTTTGATGCAACACGCTAACGAGAATATCCCGCACCACATAAAAAATTTACGAGTCATAAAACTCCCGCGGGGGTCACTTGAATCTCCCTGCGACCGCGCTGTAAAAATCGCGATTGAGACGGACGTCCCCGTGCGCCGGAATCTCGCGCCGTCGCGTCGACGCAAACGATCCAGAGGGCAGTGAGTGGCCGAAGGTACGATGTTCATGACGCCTACAGAATCACGAAACAATGGCTAAAGAGATAATGAACTATGAATAAAATAAGGTGGTGATTGGCAATTCGTGGTCAGATGGTATCGACAGTGCCGCAACCAAAGTAGCAGCCAATTAGAAGTTTCGCCATTGGTGCAGTGTCACCTCAGGACAAAAGAGTCGCATGCTGCGAATGCGGTGATTAATCAGGTGAGCGTCATTGCAAATGTTGAATCAGTGTATTGGTGTTGAAGTGCGTGGCGTGAGGGAGAATTTTGAGTAGCGTCTGCTGTTCTGTTATTACTAATCTGATATCGTAGCGTTGTTGCTATATCATAAAGTGGTGTTGCGCGTAGAATGTGGCTATGCTGACATGTCAACCTGGCAAGATATGACAACACGTCAACACCTGTCAACCACCTTCCAACTTCATTGACTTTAATGCAGTGGGCGAATAGTAGTACCCGCACGACTATATGCATCAATAATCACATGGCTTTACTATGGTTGTTTGATATGAATACGTAAAGTTAATAGTAATTCCATGGTAAAACATTTTAATGATTTTTCACCTGCCAAGAAGCAATAAATTCCACTTGTAACTAATATTTAAAATAATTGTCCTAAGTCATTTTTTTAATATCAACATTAGAGTATAATCAAATGCCATCTCTAAGCCGTTTAAAACCTCCCTCTCACTTGTTACGAGCCCTCAAATGTCAGGAGAGTGAGTTATTGGCTACTCTTGTCAGGAGCTGCATAATATTACACCCTTCTTCTTGCATTTCGAAGCGATGAAGACTTGAGAACAGGAGGTTAAACTTAGACGACAAGCGTTGTAACACAATATGTATGCAAAAGGACTATTGAACGACTATTACATCTGTTAATATTTTACACATTGAGTAGATTATAATATAATATTAATATATAGTTATTATACTACATAATTTAATTATTATTATACAATACAATTATTATTAATTATAATACAAAATAAATATATAATGTAGTCTTAATAGATGTGATAGTACTTCATATATTATATGATTATTTGTAATCTCTTCGACAATGAAATGCGTTCATGTATTTTGGTAATTTTAATGTTGCTTTAAAGGATTGGAGTTTCATGTTTTTTTAAAACAGTTGAAACATTTGGAAAACATTTATTAATAAATACCTTTATTTTATCTTTATTATTTAATAATTCAAAAACGCAATATTTTTTAAAATACCAGATGAACATAGCTTTTTCTTATGGCGAACTTATGTAACGAAATTAAAATTTTTGAAAAAGAAAAGTTTTAAAAATGTTTTTACTGAACAACGTGCGTAGTTCTCAATGCGCATCCCCATTGCCGCTATCAGCGCCCTCTGAACAGGCGACTTTTTTTTCGGATTGGACGCGCCCTTCTGTTTCGGGTTCGGAGTTAAACCTTCTGTTCTGCAGTCGTCAAGCCGCAAACGATCCAGCCAGCAGTGAACGGCTGGTGGTATACGGCGAGGCGTGGGCGCGCGTCGTTGCTGGCCACAATGGCGGCGTCTGACGCCCCGTGAATGGGGAGCTGTCTCTATACAGGCTGGATGCTGGCTGAAGCTCCCATGAATGTGCGAACCTGTCATTATCCAACCTCGTTGAAAGGCAGCGAGGCGCGATTTGCATGAAAACTTCGTTGTTACCGATTTACTACACAGACAGCGGGGAATATGCTTCGCTAGAGGCGGTGCTTGAATTTGGGATTCTTTCTCGAGTAGGTCATTAAACGAGTTGAGTCTTCGTATTGAGTTATTCGGCCAAGATCGAGGTTAAGAACGTTGATGTTTGAACGCCGAGCGAGTCAAGTGGTTAAATTGCTTTTCTTATTTGAAAAGGCAACAGACGTTCTTCTTAAAATGTTTATCGGATTTAATAACAAACACTTCTTGTAAATAATTATTTCGACTGACAAATGGATGAACTTGTTGAAAGGTCATGGTAATGTGTAATAAGATTGTATTATAAATGCAATATGAAATAAGTGAACGTATTAAGAAATCACAAGTAACATTGTAAGAATATTCGTCGAAAGAAAAAAAGGGAATATTACAGAAATTTGAAATCTTTAATTGACAATTTGAACCACTGAACAGGCGCACTGAATACTATGTTCTGTATCTACGAACATATTTCAGATCTGTATTAACATTTTTCTGCTACTACTAATACAAGATTCAGACAGATGTACACAAAAAACAACTCAGATGGCGTTTTAAGCCAAAACGATGTAGTGCTCATTGAAGATTGAAATCGCGTCTTCAGAAATGGCAATAAAGGAAGGTAATTGATATAGGTAGCATCTAGAGCTGAGTTATTTTATTAAAGCAACTGTGCTTTAATAACATAACTTTTTATGCTATGACTATTACATTGTTAGATGTTGTATGGAAGAATGACGTTTACTAGACTAGAACTGCTAGACTGGACTAGGACATTTCTGAGTTAAACAACATTCATATCTTAGAAAACTATAAATATGTCGTGTAAGCTTCTTACATTAATTATACTAAAAACTAATTAGTCAACTTTCAGAAATTGAATAAATGTGTGTCAGCATGCCCAATCGTAGTACTCACTTTCATGAATTCGACAGAAGACTCCAGGGGGTTGTCGAACCGGAAGAGTAGCAGGAAATTTTCCTCCATGGGAAGTAGCTGGGCCAGCTGTAATACGGTGCATTTGTAAATTAATTAATTTGCTTTTACTTAAAAATGGTACAGTAACAGAGTATGAATGTAATATATGTACATTGTTATACTCAATATTAATCGGGATAACGCGGTCCGAGCTAACCTGACCACAACCCAGAAGAGAAAATACACAAAATATGTTGTAATTATTAATTTAATGTATAGTTAGAATAGTGTGATATCAAAGAGAATAAGAGAATAAAATTATGTATCAGAAATGTGTATTTAAGTGTAATAATCAAGGATAATCAGTGAACAATAGTTCAACCAAGAAAATAGAAAGACAACACATGTAAAAGAAGTTAGGAGGTGGTGGCACAGCATTTTGAAATAGCTTGTGTAGCCGTTGGAACATTTTCTTCCACAGTTCTTCGATTCAGAACGTTTTCTCCTCACTCTGCCTTCGACTAATAATAGCGCGGCTGATAAGAATCGCAGCGGAATTCTTTGTCCTGTGGGACATGTAGTATCTTGTTGCCAACATTGTAAAAACTCTCTGCGAAATTTTCTAGAGAGAAAAGTTTCTTGAAATTGGTAAGAAGTAGTTGTAGTCGCGAGATAAAGTTGCCACGTAGGCAAATTTTGCGCAGTGTAAACTATTACATGTATTAAATATTAAAGGTTGCTTATACCACTAATAAATCTATAATGTTCTGAAAGTTCCAAAATATGTTCCCAAACTGCTACTTCTGATGGATAGTGAAAATCCTGTATGGATATGTATCTGTTGCCTTACACTTCCTTCCGTAAAAATCTCAGCATTGATTTTTCCAGACTTTCTCTGTACTACATATTATTCGTAAATATAAGTATTTTAGGAAGATATTTAGAGAAGAGTGTAAACTCTACATTTATGGCATGACATCCAAATGAAAGGACTTCCATGATTTACATGCACGATTCAATTAAGGGTAAATGATAGGGTCAGCAAATATGACGTCTGGGTGGTTGAAAGGAAGATATTTCAAGAAGATATTTCGGGGAGGGGGGGTTACAGCATTTTACATTTAATTATCCTCTTACGAAACAGTTACTATTTCATAATCGAATTATCAGAAGGTATAGGAGCATTTTAGACTTGCTGAAAGCTTTTACCAAGTCCTGTTCACATTGTTAATAAATGAAAATAGTTTTATACGGGCGTTTCGTGCGTAACTAGTGTTGTTTCAAGGTACCAAAGGCAAGGTGAACCGCATCGTCATTTTAGTTGTGAATAATTTAGGTAAATTTCAAGGAGTGTTTGATGAGAACCAGTTTTTAAATTTTGTTGGGAGGAAGTGGAGAGAGACGTGTTCATGTCCCTTTTAGAGTAACCATCTGTAGATTATCGAAATATTTGGACACATAGTTGCATCTTATGACCAAGAAATAATCGGATGCATGCGTTCTGTACCACTTGCGTACATTGTAATTTACATGTCACAAGCCATATTAATCTGTAGAAGGTCCCAACAATCGAAATTTGCCGAAATAAGTGATTTAATGAGAGTAGCTAATTGGAGGAAGTGTTATTTATTTATAAACTTATTTACATATAATTTTGTATGGAAAGCTATCTACAAGGCATTGAATAAATACTTGCAATATATTGTCCAAAGGAGAATTATAATGGAAAGTTTGGGTAGAGTATATTTATATCTTAAAACATTTAATAACTGATACTCCACACGTATTTTAATTTATGATGGCTTGACTGACGGGTTTGCGTATACAACTATTGAAATTTGTCAACCGAAGTTAAGTAAAAATAAGTATTTAGTAACTAATATATTACAAATTATAGATCCATCATTATCTTTCATAATTTAATTTTGAAAACCTTTTCGGAAGATACAAGATAGTTCAGTGGAGTTTATTTCTAAATTTACATACTTTTAAAGAAACTAACCAATTTAATGACTTGAAATCGTATGTATTATGTAAATTCTTGCACATTCAAACGTAAATTAATTCAGAAAATACATTCAGGTACAGGTAAATTTCTTCGACTACGTTGAGAATGTGACCTGCCAAAGAATGGTGCTTGATGAGTTGCACGCCAAAGCGAAAGTATGTGCAAATCTTTCCTTTCAATATTCAAGTTCGTTGTATGAAATTTCCTAGTACTACGTGTTCATTGGCAAAAAGGGATAATTTGCGATCTCCTTATGCCCTAGAAGTTTGTTAGTCTAAGACACTCTGCGTTTCTTTTGGGTGATAAAAAGTTCAGACTTGTATATGTAATCCTGATTGTTAAACCAAAAATTTTAAACTATCTATTTCTAGAAGATTGGCCCGATCATCATTCCAACACGTTGAACGCAGTAGGTGAAAAATCACAACTTCGTCACATTGATACATGCCAGATAACTACATACTATTATCTATTAATTTCCGAAATTTGTCGTCGTTCATTTCACCCTTCCTAACTGTACAAACAAAGAGAGGATGAGCTCATGAAACTAGCGCCGTCAACTGCATTCCCACAAAACTCTAACCAGCTGGGAAACGGAGCTCTAATTTTCAGCGCGAATGAAATTACAACGACGCACCAGAGCGCAATACCCACGAGAGTTTCTCTTTGCGCCTCCGCTCGCACTTCTCCCCCTTTGCCACGCCTCGCCCTGCCTCGCCCCGCCTCGCCCCGTTCCGCCCCGTTCCGCCCCGCTCACTGCGTCTAAACCTGCCCATCCAGCTCATTCTGCCACACTATGACAGTCCCTCCCACACACCACATTCCGTCTCCCCCTTGCCCTACCCCGGGCCCCGTTTCGACCTTTCTTCCCGACATCCATCACCTCGTTCTATTCCACTCCACCTATCCATTCCTATATCATACTCCGTGTCGGCACGTCACATTCTGATAACATTCCCCGCTCCTCCGCAGCGTACCACCCTCATCCCATCCCCATCTCGCTCACCTCCTCCCATCTCTCTCTCCATTTAGCCTCTCCTCCTCTCCTGCCTCACTGTGGCCTCACTGTGCCTCACTGTCTGCCTCACTGTGCCTCACTGTTTGCCTTCCCTTGTCCTCCCTGTGCCTCCCTGTGCCTCCCTGTGCCTCCTGTGCCTCCCCTGTGCCTCCTGCCTGTAGCCTCCCTGTGCCTCCCTGTGCCCTCCCTGATGGCCTACCCTGATGCCCACCAGAGATAGCACATCACTGCTTGCCTCACTGTGCACTCACTGTGCCTCCACTTGTGCCTCACTGTGTGCCCTCACTGTGCCTCACTGTGCCTCCCTGTGTCCTGTGCTTCCGTGCTCTGTGGCTTCCTGTGCCTTTCCTGTGCCTCCCCCTGTGCCTCCTGTGCCTCCCCTGTGTCATTGCCTCACTGTTGCCTTCCACTGGTGCCTCCACTGTGCCACTGTCCTCACTGTGCCTCATGTGCCTCACTGTGCTCACTGTGCCTCAGCTTGGCCTCAACTGGCCTCACTGTGCCTCCACCTTGCCTCACTCTGCCTCACTCTGCCTCACTCTGCCTCACTCTGCGCTCACTCTGCCTCACTCTGCCTCACCTCGCTGCCTCACTCTGCCTCACTCTGCCTCACTGCCTCAGTCTGCTTCACTGCCTCAGTCTGCCTCACTCTTCCTCAGTCTGCCTCAGTCTGCCTCAGTCTGCCTCAGTCTATGCCTCAGTCTGCCTCAGTCTGCCTCACTCTGCCTCACTCTGCCTTCACTCTGCTCACTCTGCTTCACTCTGCTCCACTCTGCCTCACTCTGCCTCCAGTGGCCCTCAGTCTGTGCTCTAGGTGCCCTCACCTCGTCCCGCCTCACCTCGTCCCGCCTCACCTCGTCCCGCCTCACCTCGTCCGCCTCACCTCGTCCGCCTCACCTCGTCCCGCCTCACTCGTTCGCCCGCCTCACCGGGCGTCCCCGCCTCACTCGTCCCGCCTCCACCTCGTCCCGCCTCACCTCGTCCCGCCTCACCTCGTCCCGCCTCACCTCGTCCCGCCTCACCTCGTGCCGCCTCACCTCGTCCCGCCTCACCTCGCTCACCGCATCTCCTTCCTCAGCCCGTCTCCCACCTCTCCTCATCTCTCCCTTTCTTTTCGCAACCCGCACTCAAGTCACCAATTCACCTCGAAGTTCCCGCCCGAGCCATTCCAACCCCTCCGGGGCTGGAGGCGAGAGCTCGAGGGCGTCTCGGGGGAGACGCGCGTCGTCTAAATGTCACTGCCCCTCCCTCCACTGTGGAAGGTCGCCAGCGGAAGTACCTGCGATTTTCCTCGCCCCAAATGTCGGCGCAGCGTAGCACAGAGGATCCGTGACGCGGCGTGCAGCCAAAGGTCGCTCGCTAAGCAACTGTTGCATACTGCTTAACATTGTTAGCGCATTTCGTACGATCGTGTTATGTTTTAATCCGCGTTCGAAACGAAATTATACAATATTTATTATTCGTGTATATTCTGTTACCTTGCTACAAAATTTTGCAATAAGCAACCATAGGATTTGAAACAACTGTCTTTGCTATTATTCCCTGATTGGTTGCAGAATTTCGTCAAAATTTAGTTTTACATTCTTTATTTTACATGTTTCGGTTTCATTACGTTAGCATTATTTCAGAATAAGGTATTACAACTACTACTTGATCACAATGTATTTATTTTGTATAAAACATCCCTTATTTCGTGTTGTAGTATTTATACCTTTACTTGAGGTTAGTCTGTAATTCAGGGTTTTAACTATGAGATTTTTCATTTGCATACTTATATAAACTTACATCTTAAGTGTATATTTCAGTTTATTGTTATTATCATTATATTTTTGTACATATTCAGTCATAACTTTCACAAATAAATCCTAATTTAAATTATATTTTCCTTTGCCTTAAAGAAAATAATCGTTCGGGGGATAATTTGATAAATATATGATCATGGTGTCTAAATACATAATAAAATATCTAGTGTAAGAACAATTAACATTCCTAGGATTTTTCCAAAAATAGATATTATATGATGTATCTGATACAAATGAGGCACTGTGGATTTGAAACGAA